TATTTAACAAATTTAAGGAAACTACAAAAAAAAGTTGTTGCATCTATTTTTAAGTGACTTACAAATCTTTTTTTTGAGAGAGAGAGAGAGAGAGAGAGTTGCACAAATATGAGTAATGCAAATTGAGTGTGACATGCTCCTTTTTCCTTCTCATTTTACATCATAATCAACAAAAAAAATAATAATACTAATGTAAAAACAAAGTAACAAACCTAAATTTGATGTTAATTTCTCCACTCTTTTTTTTTACTATACTTAGAGATACATTTCAAATGCATCAAAAAATAACTCCCTCTTTCTACGAGGAGTTCAGTCTGCAACATGCTTCAATTTATGTCCCAAAACAATTAGATTCACTTATTAAAGGGGTTTCCAAACTCAGTCCTGGAGGGCCGGTGTCCTGCATAGTTAAGCTCCAAGTTCCTTCAACACACCTCCCTGGAACTTTCTAGTATACCTAGTAAGGGCTTGATTCGCTGGTTCAGATGTGTTTAATTAAGGTTGAAAGTAAAATATGCAGGACACTGGTCCTCCAGGAGCGAGTTTGGACACCCCTGACTTAATATTTTACAAATTTAAGTGTACAGAACTACAAAAAAGTGTTATTGCATCTATTTGTAAGTAAATACATAAGCAATTTGAAAATCTTTTCTTTTTTTCCCCCTTTTTTTTTTTTAGAGTGACGCGAGTTGAGTGTGACATGCTCCTTTTCCATCATTTTACATTCATCAACAAAAAAAAATTATAATAACAAAAAACAAAGTAACAAACCTAAATTTGACTTTAATTTTCCACTATTTCTTTACTATACCTAGGAACACATTGCAAATGAATCAACAAATAATTCCCTTCTTGTACGACCAGTTCAGTCTGCAACATACTCCAAATCCTGCTCACTTTTTAAAAACATCCCACCAGTTTCCCATGATTCCCTAAAATGAAAATATTATAGTTATATATAATGTGTGTGTGTGTGTGTGTGTGTGTGTGTGTGTGTGTGTGTGTGTGTGTGTGTATATATAGTATAAATGGAAAAGCAAAAATAAATATCAGAAACAGAATAACTATGAATTAATACAATCCACAAACGTAGTAAAAATGCAGTATGAATGCAATCTTCCATTCATTAATTTTCTTTTCGGCTTAGTCCCTTTATTAATCTGGGGTTGCCACAGTGGAATGAACCGGCAACTTATCCAGCATTTGTTTTACGCAGCGGATGCTCTTCCAGCTTCAATCCATCACTGGAAACACCGACACACACTCGTTCACATACATACACTACGGACAATTTGAGCTTACCCAGTTCGCCTATACATCATGTCTTCGGACTTGTTGGGGAAAACTAGAGCACCTGGAGGAAACCCACGCAATCTGCACACTGTAAAAAAATCCTGGTTGCCTTAAATTTTTAAGCTAAATCAAATTAACCTTATGAGTCGATTGAACTTACATTATGTTATACTCACTTGAAACAGTTTTTGTAACTTATGGAATTAAGTTAGAACATGATTAACTTAGTTTAACAAGTTACAATGACCTAAAGCATATGCTGTCAGGACAAATTGATCATATAATTGTTTACACTGTACTAATGAATTCAGTCATAATTCAATGTAGTAAAGAAGCATACCCTTTCAAATAAAGTTTGTATTGGTGCTTAGAAAGTTCATATTCACATCTTCTTTATTATGTCCACTCTGCCTAAACTAAAACATTCTAAAAGATAACATCAAAGCCCAAATTGAGAATATTAAAGAAAGAGTTCACCTATAAGTGCCACAAGTTCAAATTCACCCAGCAACATCGCCTGATCCAATTCCCCATTCACTTCATCCAAACTTTTCCTTCATTCTCTACCATACCTGTCTGAAAAATATGCAAAACCAAGCGAGAAAAGAAAGAAGAGAGCGCCGAAGCAGTAATGAACTCTTCAGAAGGAAGTTGAGGATTAATTGATCTGTAGGAGTCGTGCTGGAGGAGAGAAAGCTGTAATTAAGCTACAGAGGCTCTGAATGCGGTTTTCTAATGACTGCTGCAAACACACACACACACAAGTTCACTCAGAGACGTTCGACATGACATCGCGCACATGTAATTGCAGTCTCGCGAAACTCTGACAAAGCCATTTTGCTTCAAGAGTGTAGAAGCACTGCTTTATTTACAGCAGATTTTACTGTTTTGTATTACTGACATGCAATGTTTAGATAAAAAATAGGATAAAATTCTTATGCATTTTTAAACCTACTGAAAAAAACTGCACTACAAAAATGACCTGTAAACATCTCTAGCATTCAGCTTTGCACAGTGACTGGATTGTGTCAGGAAAATTAAATCCCTGTGTGACATACTGTGTGTCAGTGGTTTTAAAAGGCAATCCTGAGAAGTCATTACACTAACTGCGGGATCTGCTTATTTATGGATCATTTAATAACTTTTAAATGTTTTTTTACAACCGTTCCGTGAGGTGAGGCCATCATCCAGATGTAATGTTTTAGTCTTGAATGTCTGCGCGACTCCAAACTTAATTAAAATACGAAACATTCTCATGTCGGCTGCAATACATATTGTCATTTTTCTAATTTATTCCCTAAGAAATCCATGAATGGTCCCCTCTGCCCACGTAATGAAACAATGACTTTCAAGTCTCTCCTCCCTCCTGCACCGAGTCGACTTATTCCGTCAGTTAAATTATTTCATCCTTTCAATCTCCGCTCGTTCCTTTCGTGGAAGACAGACTCTGCGGTTGTATTGTGACGGCACAAATGAACAGTGGAAATTTCATCTCCTATTTGGTGGTGCGAGGTGTTCCAATCAGATACTCTACACATTTCACATCTTGGGAGAGACCCCAAGAAAGGCTCAAAAGCCATTTACTTCCTTATCCCGTGTTAATCTGCTCGTTGATTTAGCTCGTTTTAGGATGTGATTGGCAGCTCACAATCTATTGAAAGTACTTGATAAGATGTGATGCAGAAGGAAAAAAAAATTGAAAGTAGCCACACCACATGAACGCTGAATACTAAAGCAAATAAGAATTATGTCACTCTTTACTTGCACTAATGCCAAGTTTAGACTGCATGATTTTCAAAGTAGTCACATCACAGATGTTTTCACGCTGCAGGACTACCAGGGGTAACGTTTAGTCGCTGCTTTTACACTGCAAGATGGATCGGCGAAAGGGGGTTTCATAGTGCATGACTTTACAATAGGAAGAATCGCAGACAACTTTGTTGTGGTCTGATAACTAAGTCTTTCACAACCAACACACGAAAAAAGTGACATGGTAACGTAATATTTTTTATTAACTACATAATGAGAAAGAAGCCTTTAGTGGGGTAGAAAATTTACTTATTTTGCTCACCTAGCCTTTTAAGGGAATAAGCAGTTTCTCCTCAACTTAATTTCTTTTTCGACACGGTTGTGATATTGCTCAGATGACACGTCAAACAGACATGGGAGCTCCTGCCAAATTTACACTAGTTTTCCAAATAGACTGAGACGAAGCACTTTTATTATAAAATATATATATATAATTGTGTATAAAATAATAAAAAATATATTTTTAAAAATAATAAAAGACTAGATTAAAAACTTGAATTAATAAATAATAATAATAATAATAATATTAATGTTATCAATAATATTAAAAAACTATATCTATATAAACAAAATAAAAACATAAGCAAAATAAAACACAAATGAAATAAACCACAAAGAAATTAACAGAAATATAATAAATCTGTAAAATAAGCAAACTGCAATTACAGATTACACAAAACAGCTAATTAAATTAACCAAAAACTAAACTACAAAATAAACAATCTGCAAAAGTAATAAACTGAAAACAAATTTAATTGATAAATAATTATACAGCAAAACAATTTACATTTATTAAAACCCAAAAACAGAAGAAAAAAAACAAAGAACAACAAAACAGACTGACTAATTAAGTAATAACATTAATAAACTTGAAATTGGGCGTCACGATGACGCAGTGGGTAGCATGACCACCTCACAGCAAGAAGGTCGCTGGTTCAAGCCTCGGCTGGGTCAGTTGGCATTTCTTTGTGGAGTTTGTATGTTTTCCCCGTATACGCATGGGTTTCCCCCCACAATCCAAAGACATGTAGTATAGGTGAATTGGGTAAGCTAATATTGTCTTTAATGTATGTGTGTGAATGAGTGTGTATTAGTGTTTCTCAGTGATGGGTTGCAGCTGGAAGGGCATCCACTGCCTAGAACATGTGCTGGATTAGTTGGCGGTTCATTCCGCTGTGGCGACCCCAAATTAATAAAGGGACTAAGTGGAAAAGAAAACCAATGAATGAACTATAAATGACATAAAAACAACAACAAAAAACAAATCTAAACTTCAAAACAACCAAACAAACTCAGTGTGTACTATTGCAAGACAAAAACACTCACAAATGAGGAGCGGTTCCTGAATTTTACTTCCCTTGTTTCAAACTTAGAATTTGCAGTGAAGGAGTATGAAACTTTTTTTTTGTCAAGTCCAAAAAAAAGGCCTGTCTGTCCTTCTGAATGGTGTGAGAAGCATCTGCCTCTCACCTCTATCCCTCTATGTGTCCTTCACTTCTCTTTTCTTAACACCTTGTGCTCCCTCCCGATCATTTCACGGTGTGTCTCTCACAGGAATTGCTTGAGGGATAAAAAAAAAAAACGAAAAGGAAATAGAAAAACAAGAAGCGACACACAACTGTCAAGCAGCGCTGATTGAAACTGCAAGGTCATTTTGAAGAGTGAAAGAAAGAGACGCTCTCTGGCATGTATGTGTGTGTGTGTGTGTGTGTGTATCACTGAGACTCAGAGCAAAAGTAGAAGCTCTAACAGGTAGATGATACATAGCTAAGTGACTACTCAACCTGATGACTTCAGGGTGTCCTCTCCATCATCGCTCCATTGACTCCTATCCCAATCAAACCAGACCTCCCCCCCGTCCCCCTCCACCCGGGCCTTTAATTTGTCCTATTTCTTACCTTGTAGCTCTCCACTTTTGCTGTAGAGCTCCCTCCGCTGCTCCCGCAGGTATGCGCTCATGCTAATGGCGTGGGATGAAGACTCAAACCTGCAAGGTAAAGTTATTAAAGGTCAAAAAACACGCAGGAAAGCATGTGAAAAGACACAGTAGTTTCCATGTTAGTATAAGACTTTAAAGGGTCACGAAACACCAAAACACATTTTTTGAGATGATGACAGTCATATATTTGTCCCACGTTGCTAAAAACACTATAAGGGGCCCATAATTTTCACAAAAAAGTGCAAAATTAGTTGTTTTTGCATTATTTCAAGCAAATTTGTTCTTCCGGTTTGAAAATAAATTTTGAAGCCGTCACGCCGATTAGATCCTTGTGCAAATTCCAGCGGCAGGTCCAATGTGACCTCTTTAAGTTTTCATCATTAATTCGAGAGATTGACTTGGTTTGAACCAATAAGGACGCTCTATTGTGTATGAGGTGCAACTTCACTATGCATAATAGCTTCGTTTTAACTTGTTGACAGCAGGTTGTGATTACAGTGGTCTGCTAACACGCGACAAAAATATGTTTGTAAAAAAACATTTTTACTCAAGAGTTTTTCCCATCAGGAAATGGTGAAATCCGTATTTGCCGCTCATCTCCTTTTAAAAAAAGATGCGGTTCTAGTTGGTGTTGATTGTCCTGTCTTTACAGAAGTGTGTGATCAGAGTTCTTTGTTTATGTTTCTTCTAGTTAGTATTATCAGCAGTACTCTTTCAGTTTTTAAAGACATGCCTGTCTAAATGATTTAGATAAGCTTACAGTACGTTAATATCACTACAATATTATGGACTGAAAGATCGACTGTAAATGCTGCTCTCCGAACGTAAACATGTAAATAGCTCAATTAAACTATTACCGTAGTGTAGGCTTTTTGCCGTATTATGTAACAGGATAGTCTACCTACCAAAGTGCTTCTAAGTTACAGAGAAATGCTGAAGTTTTTTTTCTTTTTCTCCCATACGGCGTGCTGTATCAAGCATTCCATTAAAACTACACTCTTCCAGCAGTTCCTTGCATCCAATATCTCATTGTCATGGGAGGCATGCATGAAATGTTCCTGAATGACAGTGAAAGTGCCAAACTGCAATTAAAGCCAACAAATGAATAATTAGGCAAATAATTCTATTACTGATGTCCATGTAAACATAGTCACTGTCTTTCTCCCCTGCGTCAGTATGCTGTTTTGCCTCTGTGAAAATCAACGTGTGCTTGAACTGAAACTGCAAACCCTTACACCGCAGTAGGCTAGTAGACATTAATAGAACACAACAGGTTACTGTGAGGTTGGGTTCAGAGTTGGGCTATGTGTAGGCGTTAATAAAACACAACCGGTTACTATGAGGTTGTGTTAAGGGTTGTGGTAGGTGTAGACATTAATAAACCCAAAAAAATTGGACTCTGTGTCATGTACAAGACATTAAACAAAATGAAAACTCCAGGAGGTGTGAAAACTACACCCACTCGGAGCTGACCAGCCCATTTGGAACTGGATCCGACCTCCGTTTATACCCTTTTCTTCGCACCAGGTATTAAGATTCGTTTTCCTTGATCGAATCACAAGTGGACAAAAGAGACTCTTTACAAAACACCTGGTGTTTAAATGTGTCTCTTTTGTCCACTTTCAATCACTTCTCTGACGAGGGAGGGGCTGTGGCCGGATATTGGATTCCTCTCTTTATCACTGTGAAAGCTTGTAATAAAAAATCTTGTTATACTTTACAAAAAATAAACATTTTATTAAATGTAGCACTTCAGAACTATTAAAATGCTTTATAAATAGGTTAATTTATGCAATGACTAATGAAATTATAGATCATTTATTTATTTAACTTCTAATCAACTCCATTTAGGCCTAGACTTCTAACTTTACTTTTGTTCGGATTTTAACACGTAGATAGGGTGTTTTTAAAAAATTCCTTTAACAAACATAAACAATAACCAGCTAGATGTGTCTTTAAGTAAAACTACAATGCAAAGGATCACAAGAAAATACCCATCATACCAATTTTTTCTGATCAACTCCTGCATAGACACTACATACTGTAAAAGTAATTGGTTACTAAAGGCAAGTAAACCAATTGCCTTAAAAGCAACAAACTGATTTTATTTAAAGATAATGTAAGTAAACCCCTTGTATCTTGTAACTGTTAAGTTGACCTAACTTAAAATTTTGCAATTATGTGATTTCACCGACTTTTTTTAATAGTTAACGAATCACTTTTTACAGTGCATTTTTAATATGCATGTATGCTGTTGTTTTGATAAAATTTGTTTAACAAATATATTATGACATCGACAGTAATTCAATCAGATGATTAAAAAACATTATGCAAAGGATAAGAGGAAGAGAACACACATACAGATAGTTAATCCAACACATGCATTAACCAAAGGCTCTTAGCTGCTGTTCGAACAATCTGATCGCATGCGTTTGCCATTAGGCATTAAACCCAACCCATTCAAGTGGCTCTTGTCAACTGTAACCCTTTCCATTTAATTCCTACATTAAGAAACCTACTTGAAAAGAGACTGTTTGGGTCTGAGAGGTTTCTTCTTGGCGAAAAACGCTCCAAAATCTCCACCGGTGCTGGCGTAGGACAGCTGGGCAGAAGGTTCTGCTGCGCTACGGGTGTTTTTGACATCCAGGTAGTCCATTAGCAGGACCTGTGAGAGCAGAAGAGCATGTTTTGTTCAGTCTTATTTTACAGCACAAGACTATATTCACTGCCTTTTTGACACTTGAAGTAGGTGTTCCACTACATGCACTTATGATAAACAGTTTATTAGCACACTTTCTGCCAGCCCTGGACTTTGTAAACAGAAGCAAACAGGGCTAGAATCAAAATGGGACACCAAGGTCAACTAATCCAAGGGGGGTTTTATCACAGTGATTCGCTTGAGAAAAGGCTGGAAATGAAAAGCAGCTCTATATATAGTGCACAGCATAAGTGAGTTACTTCCTCTTTGAAAATGTATGTATATATAGTTGAAGTCAGAATCATTTGCCATCCTGAATTATTATCCCCTGTATATTTTTACCACAATTTCTGTTTAAAAGGAAGATATTTTTAAACACATTTCTAAACATAATAATATGTTATATATGCAATAAAATAAAATATATTATATGTATTGGGCTAAAGTTAGTTTTAATAACTAATTTCGAACAATTGATTTCTTTTATCTTTGCTATAATTACAGTACAAATATTTGACTAGATGTTTTTCAAGATAATTATATTTAGCTTAAAGTGACATTTAAAGGCTTAACTAGGTTAATTAGGCAAGTTTGTATAATTAGGCAAGTCATTGTATAACAGTGGTTTGTTCTGTAAAATAATAATATTGCTTAATGGGGCTAAAAATATTGATAATGGTTATAAAAATGTTTAAAACTGCTTTTATTCTAGTAGAAAAAAAGAATATTATAAGGAAATACTATGAAAAATTCATTTCTCTGTAAATCATTGTTTGGGAAATATTTAAAAAAGAAATAAAGATTGACAGGGGGGCCAATAATTGTGTCTTTAACTGTAAACAAATATATAAACAGACAAAAAAGCATGATCCGAATACATTATATTACTGAACTGTCAGCAAGTAAATAGGTAAAATAATAATAAAACTGCATATTTATTAAAAATTGAATAGCAAAATGTACTTGTTTATATGAGCAATGAAATAACTAGTTGACCAAAATAAAAAAATAAAAAAATCTAAAATTGTCAAAACAATTAAAAAAACCAAGAGATTAAATAAAAAAAATAACTGGCCAATAAATAATTATACAAAATGAATGAGTCAAAATCAAAACAAAATGAAAAATAATAATTACAAAAAAATTGAACACAATTAAAATATTTGTCTTATATTTACCAATGTCACAGCTCTATTTTAAAAAGGTGAAATTGTGAAATATTAGTACATTTATACAGCTATTGATACTTCATTATAATTGGAAATAAAGTTTATTTCTACAATGGCAAATCTGTGTTGGTTCGTCACAAGTAATTTAGAGATTAATATTTTCTCATAGATTAAGAAACATTTCCTCCTATTGATGTTGTAAAGAGTTGAATTGCTTCATATATTTATAGTAAAGCATGATATTCGTTCAGTATTTTTTATGAATAAAAAAGTTAAGAAAAACACATTTATTTGAAGCAAAAGTTATTGTCGAACACTAAACATGAATCCTTAATTAAAGCATTAATTTCTCTTTTTTTCTTAAACGATAAATTCAGATTTAATTGTAGCACTTTACACAACAAAATCTCTGCTCAAACCCAAATTTCATATTATCTTTGACAGTCCTACACGCCAGTTTAAAACACTCCATAAAATATAAGGGTTAAGTATGTCCCTGGCCTAGTATGACTTAACTGGATCAGTCTGAATGAATCTGTTTCTAGGTTTGTCTCAGGCCAATCTTTCCAGGCTGTCTGTGTTCAAACTTCAAACGCCTGCCGTATCCGCCAGTGAAATCCCATTAACTCTGATTAAAACTGCACATCCGAGTTCATGAATATCCCATTCAACACTATCCATAACCATTAAGAGAGGTTCAAACAGCTGCAAGAGGAGTGAAAGAGAAGTTCAAGTAAACTTTTCCACAAATTAGCAGGCCGTTTTTTTCCAATGGCTTCATAATTCAGCGAAGCAATTTACTTGCTCCATTTCTAAATCCCAGCTGCAAAACAGTCCAGAGTGGAGATGGAATTAGGAAAGGACAGATGGAACTACATCTGACTGATAATAGCATAATTAAGCAGAGATAAGAAGGGAACAGTCTATGAGAGGAAGGGAAAGCCTCATCAACAGCCATTCCTCAGCCCAGAGACAAGCCCAATCCGGCCGGCCTGTTACAATCCTGTCAGATTATTAATTACTAATGCCCATCTGATCCGGTGATGGAGCGGGTCTCGCATGTAGACCCCCGACTTAATTAAATGCCAACGTTTGCCTGATGAAGGAGCCCGGACCCACTTCAGTGACCTCGGAGAAGGGAACAAGCAACTTTTAAGGCAATTAACCATGGAGGATGGATGGATGACGGTGGGAGATGGAGAGAAAGATTTCATGACGAAAACAGTAAACACAGGAAGGGAGACAGATGGAGAGAGATGTACAAGAGAGATTAGGAAGTGAACAGTCAGCAGATTCATCTTGGTAAAGCAAATGAACGGGTCAATTTTTAGTAGCAGTACATTTTTTTAAGATATGAATAGTAGTTTATTTACTTTACGCATTATTATGCATTCAATGTGCCATAACAGAAATTTGTTTTTGGCACTAGCATAAAGAAGATGAATGTATGTAATAAACAGATTATTTTAAAAAGAACTGAAGCTTAAGGAATAGAGGGAAGCAGAAAATAAAGTCCAAGCAAGTGCAAATGCTTTTGTCTTTTTGCATTTTGTTTAATACTATTCACTTTATTCCCAGTGTATGAGCGAGTGCAGCCAATTGAATCTTTTTGGCTCGAGACTTCCGTTCTCATACACTTCTCATAAACTTCTATTCATTTTTAGAAGTTAAAAACAGCTCATTATGCTGCTTGATGTTGCAAACTGACATTTTCTTATCATACGATTGTGCTTTGTCTGTAAAGTCATGCAAACACTTGTTTGTAGAGCGAGTAGTTCGACCGTTTTCTGCGGTTTATTATTCCTAGTCATTTCTCCCATAGGCAGCTGAATTGGAAGTTCAACAAGCACACTTCAGCATTTAAAAATAAAGTTAACAGCTGTAGTAAGAGTAGTAGTAGTAATAATAACAACAACAACAACAACAACAATAATAATAATAATAATAGTAATGATAAAAAAGTGTAATATTTCTTTAAAACATCTCATTAGAGTAGTAATTTATGCTAAATATATGATGTTAAGCAGATTTAAATCTAATTATTCATATTATAATAATAATAATAATAAACTAAGATTATACTTTTTTCATTTATTATAACTAAGCAATGCCTAATAGACGAATGTCAATTTCAGTTTTATTTCATCACAAAAGGGCCATTCTAATACAAAGTAAACGCAAATTCATTTGAAACGATCGATGATGCTTTAAGTGATGTTCTGAATAGTGTTTAATTGGTAATTTATTACAGTTTCATTGAACATTTGTCCCTAAAGTTAAGTGTTATTTTTAGGGTTTCCTCCTGGATTTTGCCTTCCCAAATTTAAAAGCTTCCAGATCCACGTGCAGAGTTGTAAATGCAAAGGTTTGGTATCATTTTAAAGGAAACCCATTGAAATTTCAGAAAACACTGTTGAAAGTGATTAAAATAATTGTATTGTCAGGATTCTGCCACTCCGGTCTTGTTAATTATTGTTTTAATGGCAGTATCCAAACACTAGTCCTATCATGTCTTGTGTGTTGTGCTCGGCTCGAGTTTTCTCGGGTCGAACACTGCTTTTCTGTCATTGTATGTCATTTGTATGAGCGGCGTCTCAACTGATCATGTCCTCATGTGCTCTCCTGTCTATTGTCTAGTCTCCCCCTCCTTAACCCTTCTTAGTTTATCCTGCTCACCTGTCTGTTTGTTAATTATTTCTGCTTATATTCTTCTCATGTCTGCTGTCCTGTGCCAGTTCATCATCGTTTTTAGCCTTGTCCTGTCTGTTCAGCGCTGATCGCTGCCAGCCTGCCCAATGAAGTTTGTTTGTGTGTTTTGTTAATGTCTTCCCCCTCAGGGTAGTATGTTTTGCATTTTATTTTATTTTACTATAAATAAAACCCTTAATTTGCCCTTTACTTTAGTCCTCACTCCTTTTCCCTAACACTGACCGTGACATGTATATGTAGTTTGTTTTATAATAAACCCCTATAAAAAAAAGAGGTGCTTTTTTTGTAAACCTAAATTTAAAAATGTGTACCTTTTAGGTTCTGCATGGTCTATGTTGCTGTAATCCATTTTGTTGGATCCTGCACATGTCAGTAATCAGAAAAAAGAAAAATGTCTCTTTTCTAATCTATGCAAAAGTTATTTCATTTCAACTCATGAGAGAACAGAACCACTTATGGGGGTATTGGGTCAGTACAGACCTTCAAAATTGAAAGAATGCAGAAGTAAATGACATCACAGACCCGGTACTGTGTACGCAGAGTTTAGCACTTTCCATTTTACTTGTTTTATTATTATCATTCTTTAAATGCATTTCAGTGCTGCTGCAATAGTGGCGCAGTGAACTTATTTTTCATAGTTTGTGTGTGCTGCGAGAGCATAAAAATATTTCCTGCAATACGTTTAACATAAAAAAGAAACAAGAAGATGAAGGGAAGCGAAACTTGAAGACAGAACTCATTATACCACCACCACAGCCGGCAAGGTCACTTTCACTAAAATGCCTCATGCCTCATCAGAAGTGCCTTCGTCCCCATTATAATGCGGCTTATTAGAACTGCCTCCGTTTTTCCTGTAACAACAGAGATGAAGCGTGGGTTGCAGAAGCGCTGTGTCCATTTTAAAAACACCAAACAAGTAGGTGGAAACAACAGAGCCAGCTCCGCCAACAACACAAAGAACTCTCCAATGAGTCTGGCAAAAACACATGCAGAACAAACTGCTGATCTCGAGCAGAAACGTCTAAAAGCAGCGCGTCAAACAGAGACAAAGAGCGGCCCACTTATGATTTATGCCGCCCATGGATGGAC